GAGGGTAGCTATTAAGGATCCCAAGGTGAGCTTGGGCACAGAAACTAGGGTAGTAATCAACTCGTGGAGGGACCTCAGCCTCAAGGTGAAGAATTTCCTGGCTAGAGACAAGCTTGTGCGAGCTGGTTTGAGCCCTCCTGGTAGGTTCCTACCATGGCTTTTTACTTTTAAGGTTTTTGATTAGTTCGCGGCTAATACTTTTGCTCTTGCAGTTACCATGCCAGTGGTCGATGCTGATAGCCTCCTTCAAAGTTCTCAGAGGGGGAAGAAGAGGAAAGCCTCCAAGAAGCTTGGTCGGGAAGCCGGGCCTTTAACCTCTGCCTCGTCTGAGGTCTTGTCCGCGGAGCCGATCTCCAGCAAGCTCCCTGGGGAGGAAGTTCGTGCTCAATCTCCCATAGTGGATCTGGACGACGACTAGGAGGAGGGTGCCTAGCCTCTTGAACCGAGGAACGCCCAAACAGGAAAGCGCCCAGAGAGCGCTTCTACAATGGAGAGTGCCTCCGCGCCTGAGCAGGAAAGCGTCTCACCTCGCGAGCCGGAGGGTGCTTCTTTACTGAGGCTTGGGCCCCCCATGCGGATCATAACGACCCACAAGCTCGGGATGCGCATGAGCAGGGATGCCATCTTTCCCGAGGAGGTCACGGAGTGGGCTGATATGTCCATGGCCCTGCTTGGAAGCTGAGCCTCTAGGTACTGCATGGTGGTAAGTATTTTACTTTCCATTTTATTCATTTGTCAATTTCAAATGTACTTACTTCGGTTTTATTCACTAGGTGAATTCCACCATTCCCTCGTTGATGTGCCGGTTCGAGCTCTGCTTGAAGAAGGCTCAGGACGCCGAGGAGAAAGCTTGATAGCTTCATAGCGACCTGGACATAGCTCAGGGAGAGGTGCATTGGGCCAAGAAGGGAGCCGAGAGCCAAAAGCAGCTGATCTCGGTTCTGACTGATGAGAAGGTGAAGCAGTAGGAACAAATCTCTGCGCTTACCAAGGAGAGATCAAAGCAACATGAGCAGATCTCGGTACTAACTGAGGAGAAGGCGAGGCTTCAACAAGAAGTTGAAAACCTCGAGGCGATGGTTCAAGAGCGAACTAAGATCTTTGAGACCGCCATCCACGAGGCACGGGCTGAAGAGAGAAGCCATGCCACCAAACGCTTCAAGGAGTCATCAGAGTTCCACGATCTCTAGGTTGAGTATGGTTCTAGGTTGAGTATGGTTCTAGGTTGAGTATGGTTCAAGCTCCTACCGCTCCAGCTTCAAGCTGTAAAGGTACTTGGTTCGGCAAAAGTTCCCCGACCTAGATCTCGGAGCCATCACTATGTCGGGCCTTGCCCCCGAGGTGGCAAAAGCGGCGAACAAAGAGCACGACTCGTCAGAGGAGGAAAGTGATGACGAAGTCGAAGAGGTGGGCCCCTCGAGTGAGGAGGACAGGGGAGAGCACATGGAGACCGATCCGGCTAGCAGTCCTTCTTCATAATTCTGATTTTTCCTTCTTCTTGTGTTTTGAATGTACACCCTGAGGCCACTGAGCTCGGGTTACGATGAAATCCCTGTACTTACATTTTTTACTAATGAAAATGCGAATTTGTCTTGAGTAATCCTTGTGTGAAAATTTTCTAAGTATAGATAACCTCCGATCTGGGCAACCAGTGTATAGGTTACCCGAATTGTCGAGCTAACGAGTTGGACAACAAGTAAGGATAACCAAAGTAAAAAAAAAAATCACTAAGTCTTTGCTACCCCGAACTGTCTACTTAGTAGGGGCAATTTTAAATAGTGTACGTCGAGGTGAGCGACACTGAGGGGTCACCAAAGTAAAGAATTTTCTAAGTGTTCGTTACCCCAAACTTTTTACTTAGTAGGGGCTATTCATTTAAATGCCTATTGTCCCTTATGAGTCTGACCTGTTGTTATATGTCAAGGTGGACTAGACATCGTAGGGCTTATACCCGAGCTGTCTAGGCCTTAGGCATTAGGGGTAGTTTGCCTATGCCAAAGAGGCGACTAGGACTTATATGCCCATGCCAAGGAGGCGACTAGGTTTTATGTGGTATTTTAGCCCTTAGGCTCTAGGAGCGACTCGTAGTCCACTCCTAGATTTTGCCCATGCCAAAGAGGTGACTATGACTTATGCAGTGCCGAAGTCTTTTATCGGCTCGGTGCTTTAGTCCTTGGATTTCTGGGAGTGACTCACAGTCCGCTCCCCAGTTCGACGATCACAAGTAGTATCGCCTTAAATAAATGATGTTCCAAACTCGAGGTACTTGTTTTCCTTCTAAGGTTTCGAGCTCATACGTACCTTCCCTGAGTACTCGCTTTACTCAGTAGGCACCTTCCCAATTTGGTTTAAGCTTACCAACACTGGGCAAAGACACCATAACTTTTCGAAGGACCAGGTCTCCGACACAGAAGTGCTGCTTCTTGACCCGAGCGTTATAGTACCAAGCCACTCTTTGTTGGTAGGCTCTGGTCCGAATATATGCGAGGTCCGATACTTCTTCCACCAGGTCAAGGTTAGTACGAAGCTCGTCATCGTTTGCTTCTTTGTTGTATGCCTCCAGGCGTAATGTAGGTACTTAGATCTAGACTGTGATTACTGCTTTTGTGTTGTAGGTGAGGTTGAAGAGGGTTTTACCTGTGGCGGTCTTGACAGTGGTTCAATAAACCCATAGTACACTGGGCAGCTCATCTACCCATAGACTCTTAGCTCGGGCTAAACGAGCTTTTAGCCCAGGGAGTATAGCTCTGTTCGTGACTTCCGCATGCCCGTTTACCTATGGGTGTGCTACCGAAGTGAAGTTCTATTCTATCCCCATCTCGGCACACCATTTCTGAAATTTGATATCTTCCAACTGCTTACCGTTGTCAGAGATAAGCACCCAAGGTAGGACGAAGCAACATACTATATTCTTCCAAAAGAAGTTTTGTTCGCTTTGGGTTGTGATTGTTGCCAGGGGTTTCGCCTCCACCCACTTCACGATGTAATTCACTGCGACTACCAGAAATTTTCTCTGTCCTGTCACTGGCGAGAATGGTCCAAGAATGTTGATTCCCCACTGTGCGAAGGGCCATGGGCTAGTGAGGTACTTCAGGTCGACAGCAAGTTGGTGATGGATGTTTGCGTGCCTCTAGCATTTATCGCACTTCTTGACAAGCTTGAGTGCGTCTGCATTCATTGTGGGCCAGTAGTACCCTTGTCGCAGCGCTTTCTCGGCGAGGACCCTACCCCCCAGGTGTTTGCCACACAAGCCTTCATGAGTGTCATGGAGAACGAGCTCAGCCTTTGAGGGTTGCAAGCAGCGCAAGTAGGGGAGTGTGTAAGATCTTCGGTATAGCCATCCGTCTATTATGACGTACTTGGCAGCCTATCGCTCTACCCTTTTGGCCGCGTTGCGATCTGCAGGAAGGGTCCCATGAAGCAGGTAGCTCGCGAATGGGTCAATCCAGCTCGGCTCTGCTTGTGCAATAGGA